AAGTAAGACCGGGGTCTTTTTCTGTTCTTGTAGGGCTGCCTCCACATGAATCCTGCAGAGAGATGGACATGTGAACAGCTGTTGCAGCATCCCTATTTTGACAGCATCAGAGAAATGGGCACTTCGGCCAAAGAGCTTGACCGGCCACTAAGGAAGACCCTGAGACAGAGCCGAAAACACCTGCCTGGGGTAAACACGGGGCACTCTTTCACGGAAGCATCCTGGTTGCACTTTCAAAAGATCTCAGGTCTGCCACCTGGTGCAGAGAATCTGTAGCTCGACTGGAGGTGGCAAGTGCTGCTTGCCGTCCCGCACCCTCATTCCAGCACCAGGAGAAGGGACCCACTGTCTCTCAGCCAGGGCACCAGACGCATCTGAGTCCGAGGGCCCCTTCTCCCTACATCCTGTAGGTGTCCTTGTCCCACAGTTTCTTCCCTGCTGCCACAAAGCAGCCCCCAGGGGCCGGGGCTGGGGGATGGTGGGTGGGTGTTGTGCATGAGTCCCCCGGAGCCTGCTTTTTGTGCTCTGGAGAATGAAATTCAGTTTTTCCCAGGTAGCTCTCTGTCATCATCTTTACTTTCGGTATTGACTGACATTCCAGGCTGATCCAAAAATGGAACCAGTTTCCCCTTGAATCCTTTAACATTAAGAGTGGGCTAGGGTAGATTTGGTGGTTCGTGCTCTCAGTGATATCAATGGGAACGGCTCATTTTATCAGAGAAAAGCATCCCATCTGCACACAGGGAGCCCGTGAAGAACATGATTGGATGAAGTTAGGCAAAGTAGCCTTATGTTAAGCATCTTGTTATAAGCCAAAAGCTCTAGTAATTTAGAATGGACTGTAGCTGGAACCATAACTAAGCTGAGCTGGCTACTCCCGGTCCCTTCTGGATCTGCTTAGGGAGTCCTTAATCTATAAATTATTATGTCCTAGTCTTTCCCTTGGCAGCCTCCGCTGCCCAGTGTGCTGAGTGGCATCTGGGTGGTGTATGTGAGGTTTGGAGGAGAGAAGAGGATGGACAGTCCCTTAGGAGCAGATACAACATAAACTGCAGGGTCCTGAGATAGACCAGAGTTACAAAATTAAGAAAGCTTTATTTTATTCTGTCATATATGACCCAGGTAACAAAACAGGCTGGAATACATGACCCCAGAGTTACCACTTAGTTTGTTGTTCCTTTGTGTCCAAAGCAAAGGATCTTGATAGGAATATTTCTACTTGAACGAATGGGGGAACCCACTAATTGATGTATTGCATTTAGGTCTTGAAGGATTCAACTGTTTGAAGTATTAAAAAGTAACCACTTTGCAGATACCTAAGGCCATGTAGTACAAAATACATATATTTTTTGTATTTTCTTCTTTCATTTGATATTGACAATAAATTCAAACATTTACTGGGAGCATGAAGGGATCCGTTTGCCTTTTTAACAAAAGGGTAAGAAGGCAAATCACTTAAGTGCTCCAGATGTCAGCTTTCTTTGCTGTTAAGACAAACATTGGCTTAAATGATCCCTGAGGTCCCAGCGAGCTCTTGCCTCCTGAAAATCTATTTTTTCCAATAATATTAAGTCAATTTTTCTTTTTCATATTCTCTAAATTTTCTTGAATGTATGTATTTTGCTTTTTGATATAAAGTAAATCTTAAAAAAGAAAAAGGGAACACATTTAAGCATTTTGTCCTCCTTTAGGTCCTGGATTCTGTGCAGAAAAAGTATTTCTGTGCTGAAAAATTGACTGACTTACCTCTTTTTTGATATGTACTCAACAACGAAAAGAATGCACGGCACTGAACCTCACCCTGTGTTTTGTATTTGCAGTTGCAGGCCCTTCCTCAGCTGACCAGCAGTGGCTTCCTTCCAGCTTTGGATAATAAGAATTACTACTGGAATAGGAAGAAAATGAACTACCAATTTCCAAACATTTAAGGAGCTTGGAGCTAGATGATGAAAAAGGAGTTAGTCCATAATTTGGAGAAAACGAAACGTATACATTTGTTTGAAAACAATCACCATGTCGAAAGGACACCAGGAGAAAACATAAGTCACAAACCGGGGGAGGCCACCTGGCAGAAGAGAAAGGGAACTTCCAGAGGCAGCCTTCCAGGCTTCACGATGGTGACCAGAACGGAAACACTTGTTTGGATTTTCACTTGCATTTTTGTTGTATCTAAGCAGCTGAGCTAATGGACAGAAATATAAACTGTACCTACTATCCCTATCTCTGGCAAAATTAGAAATGTAAGAAGAATTTATGCTTTTATTGTACCATACGCAACCAGTGAGAAGTGGATTACAAAATACCCATATGTATTTCTTGCAGAGATTTGCCTTGAGTCCTATACCCTGCCTTTCAGACTGTCTTAACATCATATTTAAGAAGTTTTAGTTCCTGAAATCAAAATGCTTATAATTCTATTTCCTGCTTGCTCTATATCTAGATTTTCATATTTTTAAAACATTTTTAGACTATTGAAGAGTCGTTCAAAATAATTAAAATCATGGATTATCGTAACAGCATTATTTGCTCGCATATTTAATGATGTTTATAGACATTTGTTACATATACTTTTGACATTACCTTTAGTAAAGGCTGCACCTTAGTCATTTTTGCAGGCAGGATGGGTTTTTACAACCCCTCCCCAGGTGACCCAGTTCCCTTTACAAACTGTTGTGAAGCCTGGCAGCTGACTAAAGCTTGAATCAAGGGGTAGAACAAGACCTACAGGCTTCACGGGAAGTGAGCTTATCAGCCTGAAAGTAATTAGTTCTTCATTCTCTCCAGCTCCGCCTCAGGCTTGGAGACAGATCTATAGGCAGGACTATCTATAATGATCTGGGCTCTTCAAGAAGTTGCTTGTTGAGTTCTTCTTTGGACCATGAAAGACTTTAGGTTGTACACTGATATTGTCCTGGAAATAACCTTTGATAATATATGTGTGTGTATATATACACATATAAATACATAAGCATATGTGTGTGTGTATATATATATATATATACTGTGCTAAGAATTGGCAACAACTGATAAGAAAGTAGTCCAAAACGATTCTGAGTATTCTTAGCTTTGTATCATGATACTTAACATGATGACATGTTATTAGCTTTGACTTGGCTGCGCCTCCTATTCTAAAAGATTTTTCATCCTCGTCCCCTGAACACAAGGGCAGGATGACGCTCACGTCTGTTTCTTGTAGCTCACTGCCAGTTTTGGTTGGTGTGCTGCTGCTGCTCTTTCCTTAGTGGTTCCCAGCCATGGTCTTTGAAATGTATTTTACTGTCTCTTCAAAACTTTTCTCCTGTTCTCTTATTAGTTTACTGCTCTAGTAACTTCCTTCATGACAGCATTTGTCTTTATTCACTTACTGCTAAGTAACTCACCAAATTCAGGCATCTGTTCAATAATTTTGGCTACTCCAGCCAGTTTAATGATATCCTAAGACTCCCAGATGTATGTAGCTTCTTGCAAAGAGCTGACCCTGGGTTAAATACAAGTCCCAGCAGTATCTAATTCTTCTTATTTGGCTTTGATTCAAATGACAAGGAAGGACATCCCACTTCTGTTTACATTTTCTGTTTTCCTTTTTAACCCAAAACAATGCATTTGACGAGGCAGATGACTGTAACTGTAACTGCCTAATTCATTCCATAGTTTTATAGAAAACCATTCAGAATATAAAAGTAGTTCTGGACTAAATTGTAGTGAATCAGTTGCCTCACCACACAATAATCAAATCTGAGATGGAAGCATTCATTTTTTCTAATGAATTCTATTAAATGTGTACCAATGCTTAATTTAACCACATCTGTAATCCTTCGTTCAGCATGGAATCACGACTGTTTCACATGAGACTGTTCTATAGTCTTTTTTTTTTAATTTACTGTGTTCTGATTTTATAATTGACAGTGGAAATTTTATTTATAAATAGCATATCATTTATGGCATGTGCTACTTACATAAGCTGGCTTCTAAAGACAACAGAAATTCATTTTTTTCCCAAATGCTGCATCATACACTGTTTATTTTAAAACTATTTCTAGTCAAGGTTATAGTTAAGAGTATAATGTTCAAACCAAACATACAGAAATCTACAAACAAGTTGGCATATCATTAATAGTAATAGAACCAGGGCCATTTCGGGGTAAAAATAAAGATCTGTTTTCATCCATATCTGATATTCTTTGTCACTACTTTCTAGATATAATCTGAATTTTGCACTTATGCTTTTTTTTGTTTTTGCACTTATACTTCTTTTTGATGTCCTTGAGCTCATAGGAAGAGGTATCCAACATGTATGGGGGAATAAAAATTAGTTTCTAATTGATATGTTAAAATTTCCTATTTAAAGCAATCTTTTAATTTAAGCAAAAATGAAGTATAACTGGGCTGGTCTTCATGATCATTTCCTCTGTTATACTGTAGTTGGCAAAACTATTTGAATTCAGCCAAGTATTTATGTCTAGTTTTAATAAAACCCTAGACTAAGATTACAAAATAGACAAATTAGCCAAAGAAAGGCGTATGTTATAAAGAACACAGGAATGTAGGATCATGGAAATGCATGCAAATCCTGGGAAGCGATACAAATGCCTCAACAACCACTGACTGTCTCTTATAATTGACTCCACCAATGAATCTGAAATTTAGCTTTCAGTTTTTCATAATTGCACTTTTATGGTAACATGCTTCAATAACTTTAAAGTAAAAGGTAACAGTAATATGAATTACTGATAAAGTACAATAAAGAGTATCTGTGTTGCATGTTTAAATCACTTAATTTTTTTAGTTTTTTTAATATATTTTTTAAAGATTTTATTTATCTGACAGAGAGAGAAAGAGACCACAAGTAGGGGAAGAGGCAGGGGGAGAAGCAGGCTCCCAGCTGAGCAGGGAGCCTGATAAGGGGCTGGATCCCAGGACCCTGGCATCAGGACCTGAGCCGAAGGCAGAGGCTTTAACCCACGGAGCCACCCAGGTGCCCCGGCCTAAATCAGTTTAAAGAACTCTGTTGTCATCTACAACAAAAGTTACCTACATAGATATTTATATAAAATGAGGAATATATCAGAATTAAACTGCTACCTGCTTTCCATTTTTCTTAAAATGACTTAATGTACATAGATTTTTACTTCCAACTTAGTAACTTCAGTGAGTCATGTCTGAATATTAATTTTCTACATAATGGACTCTCTGCTTCTGAAACATCATGATACAACATCCTTAAGGTCTGTTGATGATTATGTAATATTTACTGCTATTTAGGATCAACAATTTTAAATGATACTTTATATTCAAAGAAGACACTTATTGAATATTATTATTTTACTTCAAGTCTAATTTTAGTTCCAGAGAAGGCAGTGCTGTCTTAAAGGTTTGGATAAGATTTTCTTTTTCTCTTACTCCAGGAAGATCACTTAACAACAAATACTTGAGGTTTCTGCAGAAAAAGAAGAAAAAAAAAATTACTTCAGTTGGTCTTTACTCTTACAGCATTAAAACAGACTCCATTAAAGGCTTAAAAAAAAAGTACACACAGAATGCATTTATATCACACTATACTATACTGTCAAAATGACTTTCAGAACAGCAATTTTAAGAGTGCTACTTTAAATGAAATTCATGCTAGGAACTAAGCCAGGCCTTGGGAAGTTTAGTTGTTCTGAATTATACCAATAATTCTAGCTGAATCTTTCCAAATACTATATATGTATTATAGCATAGAACTCATTTGCATGTGAAATATGAAACATGAATCTTAATCTAGAAAGGGATAAAAATTAGGGAAGTTCTGAAAGGAACTTCATTAAAAAATGAAGACTCAGAGCCTCAACTAATGTAAGAGATAATCTACTGCTTTTGGTTCCAATGTTTAAAACTTCTCTCCTAAAAAGAAATAAACTTAAAAAAAGCAGGGGGAGATGCCTGGCTGGCTTAGTCAGAAGAGCATGCAACTCTTGATCTTGAGATTATGGGTTCAAACCCCACATTGGTTATAGAAATTACTAAAAAAGAGAAACTTAAAATTTCTCAAACTTCCTGTGATACTGAGGTTAGTGTCAGAACATGGGGAAAAAATGAAGAGGAAGCATAATAGCAAAATAAAGAGATGAAGAGGAAGCATAATAGCAAATGCCCACTGACCGTTTACTGGAGCAGGCACCATGCTAGGTGCCTTAATTACTATGAACAATAATTATTATAATTAATAAGGTTGTTATATTCATAGCCCCACAGTGCAGCAGCCACTCCAAAATATGAGTATTAAGTAAATACTTCTTTTTTAAAGAGATGTCCCCTAAGATAGGCAATAATACATTAATGTATTAAGGTTGATAATTTTAACTGTTTGAAAGTATCACAGATGAAAGTTGTTATTTTATGTATTTTTCCAAATCAAAAAAGGTGCCACCTCTCAAATGTTTTAAATTCTAATTATTCAAGGCCCCTGGCTGGCTCAGTCGATAAAGCATGCAACTCTTCATCTCAGGGTTGAGAATTCAAGCCCCACACTGCAGAAGGAGTTTACTTAAAAAACTTTTTTTTAATTTAAATTCTAATTATTCATTTTAACCTCATCATCAAGTTTCCATTTTGGCAGTGACCACCTACCTTAAGTGATATAAAGCAATGATTCCTTTGTCTGTGATATTCCCACATGAAATTATTTCCATTTCCAGTATGCTTTTTTGTAAATTTTCCAGTTTACCAAGTCTCTCCAAACAGTCATCCTCAATATAATGACACTTGCATAGTCTTATTTTTTCAACGTGCTGTAGGCCCTCTGGGAGATAAAAGGTACATTTTAAGAATCTGCTTTATCATTAAAATAACCAGCTGTCCTAGTTTGGCCAGGACTATTCTGGTTTTAGGACTGAAAATCCTGTGTCCTGGGAAACCTCTTAGTCCCCTGGAGGGGGAAGACCTGGATGATGAGTTACCCTAATAACCATGTAAGATATTCACTATCCATGCTGTGCTAATGGACAGAACCATTCTGTAATCAGATGTTCAAGTACTGGAGGAAAGAAATGCCCACACAAGCAGAAGCTGTAGGGTAGGATCATTCTTACATTACTAAGAGTTTCTCAAATGATGGAAATTTGACAAAGGTAGTTTGATAAACAAGGCCTTGAATTTTAAACCAATAAGCATGAAATAAAGGCATGTAGAGACAAGCTTAGTGAAGGGAGAAAGGAGAAGAAGGTGTTTGTAACCTCTATTTAATTTTAAAGAATCACACACAGGACTCAAGACTGGATGGTACCTGAAAGGGTAAAAAGGAACACACCTATGACTGTTAAATAGTGAGTCAACTGCAACAAAATGTCACTGCAAATCACCGTTTCCCATAAGCAAATGACAGGGTAGTTACCCAGATAATCAAATCCAATTCTCATGATACAGGACTCGGTGGCATCAATTGCCTGGATCTTGTATTTGTCCAGAGGTCCTGTTGGGAGGTGGTTGTAGTCCTTCTGCCACCTCTCCTGGCCATGGTAGCGCACCGTGGCCCCACAGCGTAGCAGCCACTCAGATGCTGCCCTATCGGGTCCCACGTCCTTGATGCGTTCATAATCTACTCTGTTGGCAAAAGAGCAAAAGCAGTTCATTTTTAGTATAATCACTAGCTGCTCAGCTTTTAGTCGTCAGCATAAATACAGTACTTCAGCAACTTTTTCCTTTCAGATGACTGAGGAGGGAGAGAAGTATGTTAGGAAGAGCCAGGTAAAAAAAACATAGGAGGGCTCTTCTCGCTCCCTTGTTTTTGTTTCCAAGTGAACTCAGTCAAGCTTATTATTTTTATATGGGTTTATCAGCCAGACATGAGTCTTCATTGATTCGTATGTAGCACTGTGCTTGACACCAGGAGGTTTTCGGTAACCATGGATTGAGAAAATGACTATATTTGGTTATTGTTTTTATTAATGATAAAATATAAAAGGGACTAATTTTGAATCTATGTTCAAATTAATCTCATTAAGTGACTCATTAATTTCTACATATGCCCTTTCCTCTAGTTAGTTGTGTTAATGCTGTATTAAGCAATGAGGTTACTTTCATTACCTTCAAAATGGTATTTCTAAGCATGCCACCCACTTTTTTGTTTTTTGTATTTTTTAAAAGATATTATTTATTTATTTGACACAGAGAGACAATACTTACTTATCACAAGTAAGCAGAGAGGCAGGCAGAGGGAGGGAAGCAGGCTCCCTGCTGAGCAGAGAGCCCAGAGACCCTGGGATTATGACCTGAGCCAAAGGCAGAGGCTTAACCCACTGAGCCACCCAGGTGCCCAATGCCACCCACTTTTTGAACAAGTTGAGTCCCCTGGTAGTATTAAAAAGGCTAACTGTATCCTTTAAGAAGCCATAGAATATTCTAAAATTACATTTGCTGAGCTTTTTGGGTTACAAAAATAATATATTTTCATTTTAGAAAAAGTTGATAGGCATCAAAAGGACAAATAAAAAAATGACTGAAATCCTGCAACATAGTATTTTGTAATCGATTTTTCTGGTCTTTATTCAATGCCTGTGTGTATATTTTATTTGTTTTTAAACAAAATTAGGATCCTATTACCTACCTTGTACAAAAAAGCATTTGAAATACAAGAAATAACCAAATTAGCTACTGGGAACTTACTAGCTGTAATAATGGCCATGTTCTTCACTTCAGTTAGAGTAACTTACTTATTAAACACTGCATTCAACCAGCCCCAAAAGTTTCTGTAGTCACATGACCGTGGGGGTTTCTTTAAGCCACACAACTGCTGGGAAATTTTTCCAAACAGCATCACTTGATCTAGACACACAAAACAGTATTCATATTAGATCATTAGCTGGCAATCCGAGCCATACATCCAGTAACTTACTTTACAATTTCAAAGTCAGTGCTCTTGTGCCAATAAAGCTGATGAGTCATTTACCACTCAAAGTTAACAAGCAAGTCACTCCTGTCTCTGTTTCTTGGTTTCTTTGCTGCAGAAAAGAGGGGCTGGATTGGAGGGTCTCTAACATCCAGCCTTGATGTTAAGTTTCACTCTTCAACCCTCAGTTGGAGTCTGCCCACAATATTGCCAGCAGATGTCCATCCAGTATTGCACTTACACAGTTGATGAAACCAATCAAAATGACAAACTGAAATCAGCTAGGGAGCAGAGTGCCGAGGTTAAAATGCTTGTAGCCAGGAAGGAAGAGTAGACATGAAAACAGACCCCTCTATGCCAAGGCTGCAAGTAGTAGCACCAGAACAGTGCAAACAGACCTGTCCAAGGGCAGCTAGGAAAGACTGGGCAAGTAACCTCACCTCGCTGACCCTTGGTTTTGTCACTTGTAAAATGAGATGATTTGCTCAGATGATTTCCAGCTGTAAAAAATTATAACCATGAGAAAGTTTTCTTGCTCAGAAACTAGGTTTCTGAGCTGAGTTTCAATCTGATTTATTTCAGTTCAAGCTTCTCTAGTAGTGAGCAATATCAGGGGAAAACAAAGATAAATGAAATGTGGTTTCAACCTTTGAGTTGCTGAAAAATTAATGCAGGGTGGAGTGAGGTAAAACAAGGTACCAGGTAGTTAAACGGTAGAACCTGAAAAATTCCTCAGAGTTAAAATAAGAATGCACCAGGATTTCAACAGGAGAAAGTATGTCAGCTGATTAGCTGAGGCAGAAACGCTTAAGGCATGTTGTAGTTCAGTTTGGTGAGTACATGGGGATCCTGAGAAGAGGAGACAATCAATTTACACAGTCACATCAGGAAGGGTTTTGCAAGATCAGCAAGGGACTTTGGACTGTCTGCTGGAGGCAGTTGGGTCACTGAGGTTTTAGCAAAGAGCACTGGCATTGTTAGAGCTGTGCTTTGGAATACTACTTGGCCAACAGCATCAACGCTGAGGGTCCATAGAACTGAACAGTGAGACAGCTAACAATGGCTTTAACTACATGTGCCCATGGGAAAGGACCAAGTGGGCCAAGAATGGGAATGACCATTACAGAGTGGATTCCACATGGCTCAGTGAGATGCTGAGGCAAGGGCCAGAATAGTTGAAAAGGACACTAAGTTTTGTTCCCAGGTCAAGGGTTAGATGGTGATGTCATTAACAGAAGTCAGTATCAGGCGGACAGGTTATAGGTTTCCCCCACCTCCACCCCCAGCTTTTCATATTCAAAATATGAAGCCTTAGCAGAACTTCTAAGTGGAGATAACCAACAAATCATTAGCATCAAAGTCACAAAATGGGACAACAGGAATGAACTTAGACCACCTAGACCATCCAGAGATGAGGAAACTGAAGCCCTAAATCCCTTCTGGAACAAGGTGGGATATTGCTGACATCCTAAATCCCTTCCAGAACAAGGTGGGATATTAATACATGCATGTATTTATAAGGTCTTATTTAATGTTTCATGGCTAATTGGTGGCAGCACTGAAACTGGAACTTAGTTCTCCCCAGGGCTTTTTCCTCAGTCCCAGATGGTATTAGAACTGGGGAAAAAGAAGACTAGAGAGAGGCCTGAGTGAAAACCACCTTAGAGCCAAGAAGTGACTGAAGATGTTGAGGTTCTAGAACAATGAGAGATGAGATCTGTGGACAGAACCTGGGATCATCTCCCCTCTGCATCTCTTTTAAGGTTTTATTTGACAGAGAAAGAGTGCACAAGCAGGCAGAGAGGCAGGCAGAAGGAGAGGGAGAAGCAGGCTCCCCACTGACCAGAAGAGCCCGATGTGGGGTTTGATCCCAGGACCCCAGGATCATGACCTGAATGGAAGGCAGACACTAACAAACTGAGCCACGAAGGCACTCCTCTTCATTTCTTTTCTACAGTCATCTGCCTTCATTCCTGCAAACCTTCCCCATGCTATCAATCTCTTGTTCTTAGCCCTTCCTAGCTTTTTTTGGAAAATTCTCTCCACCTGTGACCACTTTTTTAAAAAAAGATTATTTATTTATTTGACAGACAGAGATCACAAGTAGGCAGAGAAGCAGGCAGAGAGAGAAGAGGAAGCAGGCTCCTTGCTGAGCAGAGAGCCCAATGTGCGGCTCGATCCAAGGACTCTGGGATCATGACCTGAGCCAAAGGCAGAAGCTTTAACCCACTGACTGGGCCACCCAGGTGACCCCTGTGACCACCTTTGATAACTCGACTGGCTGTCAATTTCACTTATCTGGGTTTTCTAGCTTAATTATAGGCTCTTCTATTTACCATCCCTCCCCATCCCACATCCCCATCTTGTCTGTAGAAATTTTACTCAACCTCAAGACCTCATTCATCATCCATCCATCCATCCATCCATTCACTCAGTAAGGATTTACTGAATGTCTGCTATACTCAGTGCCAGAGATACAATGGTAAGATTACAAAAACAACAAAGGAGAGACACAGAAAGACAAGGTTCCTTGTCCTCACAGAATGTATAGTCTAATGAAGAAGACAGACAACATAAAAACAAATAAACATGCAATATGTCTTAATAGAGGTATGAACAAGTTCTGTGAAAGCCTAGAGGAGGGAGTGAAGAGAAGGCTTCACATTAGAGGTGTCTTTTGAGATGGGTCTTAAAGGATAATTAAGGGTTTTGAGTTAGGCAGAAAAATAGAAAGGTATGCAGACCAAAAAGGACTTCAAGGATCACATCTTATTCATTGCCATTTTTCTTAGCACCTAGCACACTGCCATCCCCCTGATGCAAGAGTTTAATAAATATTTGCTAATTAGTAATCTTTAATGGTTGGTATATTTCCATAGAGACAGATAAAACCAGGGAGACTGTTATTAAACAGGTAAATTAGAGTGGTCTCTGAAAACTGAGTACTTTTACTTGATTCATTTTGGTTCACCTTATAATTCAGCTTAAAGGAAAGATAAAATTTACACTCACTATGATCTCTAAAAATATTAGATGTTATATTTAAAATAATTTGAACATGACTATAAAAACTTTACTTGGCAATAAAGGTAAAAAAGTAAATTGGTAGGTTTTACATTCTCAACTGCCCCTGTGCTAATTGATTTTAGAAATTTCAGATGAATTGAAGCTGCGGTCTCTGGGAATGTTTTCTATAAGGAAAGAGGAGACCTCTAGTGGTGAGTTGGTGAATTTAGCTGTAACGATTGGGAAAAAAAATGTTAACAGCAAGTTAAAAAAAGTCACTACTAAATTATTGCTTCAATAAATAAGAAATTAAAATCATTTTAAAAAGCTCCTTCTTACTATCAGAACCTAGCTTAGGACAAGTGTTTCTAAAAATTGTAATTATGCTTGTAACTTAGAGGAGGGCAGATCTCTGTGTCTAATTCAAAGTAAGATATACACAAAATGTTTCTGAGTAGGTTTAGTTGAGTTCCCATTTACCTAAAAACAGTAAGTTTTTTTTTTTTTAAAGTGGAAGTTCTGTTTTTACTTATCTAGACTATTTTTTTTTTTTTAAAGATTTTATTTATTTATTTGACAGACAGAGATCACAAGTAGATGGAGAGGCAGGCAGAGAGAGAGAGAGAGGGAAGCAGGCTCCCTGCTGAGCAGAGAGCCTGATGCGGACTCGATCCCAGGACCCTGAGATCATGACCTGAGCCGAAGGCAGCGGCTTAACCCACTGAGCCACCCAGGCGCCCACTTATCTAGACTATTAAGAGTGATGGCTAATTAAGTGGTTCAGAAGACTGAACTAAAGAATTAATTTTTTTTTTTTTTTTT